TAAGGAACAAGGCTAGAAAAAATTAAAGAATAATGCTTAATCTGATTAATAATAATAATTTTTTCACGTAAAGTAAAAAATAATATAACTGATTAGTATAATTCTAAAAAAAAAAAAAATAGAATACAATTTCAATCTTTTTGTTACCAAACTAGATTAGAACAGTTAGTTACTTAAAGTTTGGTTAAATTTCCTTTGGGCTAAAATGCAGCTAATAATTCAGGCTCAAATTCAATAAGGATTTTTCAAAAAAAAATTTTATATATAATTTTGAAATGGCAGAAAGCCGAATAATTTGCTTTTTAAAATATATTTACAAATATTATACTTTATTAAATAAAAATTTTCAACTATGTGACATTTCGAATATATTATTATCCATACTATCAGTATTCAACACTATATTATCAGCTCTTAAAAAAAGTCTTAATACGATTTCTGATAGCATCTTCTGCAGTCAAAGTTAAAAATCTATATGAAATATAGGCCAGACCAGGCTTGGACTGAATTTAAAATAAAGCCTGGCCCAGTTTGCTTAGCAGGCTTTTTTGTCAGACTTAAGCCCGATTTATAATAAGGCCTGGTCTGGTTTGTTTAATAGGCTTTTTGTCAGGCTTGAACTTGAATCGGGCCTAAAAAAATTTTTCGAGCTCTGTTTTTAGTCTTAGAAAGCCCATAACTCATTTGCTTTACATTTTTTACTAACAAGAGCTGTCTCATAGTTTTTATCAATAATGGTTATTTCTAAGCTTTCATTAATTATGGTTGTTTCGGGTCTTTTGCCTTCGCTAACAACAGAATAAATGGTTTGTACTTCTAATTATAATAGATGAGCATTAGTAAATTTAATTTAGAATCATGGTTCTTTAGTATATTAGTATACCATTATCTATTTTTTATCTAATCTCAAAAAAAATGTAATATTAATTATATATAATAGAATAATTCAAATCAATACTTATAGGTAATAAGGTAGCATGTATATGCCTTGTTTGGTATTGAATTAAGAAAAATAATTCTACAGAATTTGATATATATCATGCAATCTCTACACAACTATGTATGCAATTTAAAAAAAATATATAGATATATATTAATTATTGTTTCTCTTTTAACTACTAAATTGGTTCTTATTTTACATACTGGTAAATTTTTTTTTTGCTTTTTTTTTTTTTTTATGAATGTTCTTCTAATCTATATTCGTTCACCAGACTTACTTGTCTGGCTTTTTGATTTCTTACTAAGGGTATGTTTTTCTGCCTAATGAAGTTTATATACATATATATGTATGGTACAAGTTTAAGAATCACAATTATATTAGGACAAAAATTAAAATCTTATTCCTTAAAAAAAAGATAATCAAGTAATACAATTTAAATCAATATCTACTTCTGTAACAAATAAGATAAAATTGAGGTTTTTATTCTTGCACCATATTGGTTAGTGCACAAGAATTAAATTTCTTACCTCTACATTATAACTACAAATATAAGGTATTTTCAAATATACTTTTGCTTTTTTTTTTTTTTCAACAAAACCCAAGTTCAGTTTTTGTTGGAAAAAAAAAAAAAAAAAAGCAAAAGCATATTTGAAAATACCTATATATAGTATATATATGCGTATATACGTAATCTACCTCTAGGGTTTACCGGGTATATTACAGAGGCCCGGGACCAGTCCAATATTTTTTAGGCCCGACTCGAGCCCGGCCCGCTTTATAAAAATGTGAGCCCGAAACTAGGCCAGAGCCCGGCCCGGCCCGCTAATTTCCGGGTTTAGCCCGGCCCACTCTGCACCCTAACTGTAGTAAATTTTTAGCCAATTAAATTAAACTAAGATAAGATTCTTCTATCTTCTAAAATATATATTACCTAATAAATATTAGCGCTTTAATTAGTTTTATTGGATTCAATCTAAGTTAATTTTCCGAAGTTGATCTGTTTTTGTTACACGTTAATTTGATTGGTTGCACGTAATTAGAAATGTTACAAATAGATTTGCTCTATAAATTTTTATATAATTGATTTTTTAAAAGAATCTTACTAACCATAACCAGTGGTGATCATCACCAGGGTGCTATATTTCAAAAATGTACTAAGTAAACTGAATCGGGTATCCTAAGTAAAATGTTCAGGACCCCAAAAACCTCGCGAAAACTAAATTCGGGATCTTATATTAGCTTTATATTATTTTATATAAAAAAAAAATAATTCTCTAATTCTTAACCCTAACCCTAAATATATCTAGAGGTGGCGATGATTACCACTGGTTATATTTACTATATTTCTTTTTAAAAAATATAATGGTGACTATAAGCCAATTGTGCTTATATAAAGGTAGAATATATAAAAAGATTGGTAAAAATAAAATCGTAATTATATTGATTTTGTAACTATAGTTAACTGTATATTACAATTTTGATAATCAAAATCAGCAATTCTTTGTTTATTGTAATTCTTAACCCAAATTTTTGTATTTTAGTTATATAGTAAATATTTACTCAGACCAAACTTTATTAGTTTATTCTTTTGTATTTATCTTTCGTGTTTTATTTCTTATATTTAAACTAATTATCTTTGGCCGTTTCTAATAATATTGAACATGCACTACTCAGAGCACTAAATAAACTTTTTTTTAAATAGAATTATTTGAAAACGTTCATATCAAAAAAAGGTGATGAAATTATATAATATATAGCCTATTCTCTTTTTTTTTGCTATGAACATCACCATTTTTTAAAAAATTTATTTTTATTTTTGATAGTGTTTTAAAGAATAAGCCAACAAGAATTAACGATCCGGCATAATTTACCTGAATCTGCCTGAATCTCTGCTAAAAATCCGGCATTTTGATATATATAAAAGTAGATGGCTTACCTTGATTTAATGATTTTGAATACCCTACGTTAACCCATATTGTATACACAATTAAGCTATTACATTTGTATAAATGTATACATAATATATATATTATCTTTCTATAAAATCATTATAAATAAATAATACAATATATGATTTACTCATATTCATTTACACTATATATTATGTTGTGCGTATAAAGTGTATGAACAAATCTTATTTTTTTTTTTTAAACAATATAATAATTACAATCAACTTGTAAATTAACCCTCCAATCATTTTAGAAAAAATCGTGACGAAAAACGAAACGGACAACGGAAATGTTCGAAATATCACAAATGGCAGTAAATTCAAATAGGTACATTAAAACTTTAGCATGTGATGTTTTGAGAATGATTTTTTTTTTCAATCTACCATAAATTACGTGCGAAAAAAAAAAAAAAAAAAAATCGCAATGAATGTCATTTATGCGGACATTTTACGAAATAAAATAATAATAAGCCGGTGAATATTTCAGCTTATTTACGTCACTATCCCCAATCTTAGAAAAAATCCAACATGAACATAAACATAAAATTATAAAATTGCGCACTTTGCTTTCTTCTTACTCCTTCTGCTATCTTTTCCGCCCTCTCTGTTTTGCCTTATCATTTTGACCACTCCATAAAACGCCCTTTCCACGTTTACACATGTCTTTGCGGAACTTTCAATGAAATCACATTTGAGTCTTCTTGCCATATTCATTCCTTCTTCTCGTGAGACCTCTCGTTCAGTAATTTTGTCACATTTATTACCAACAAGCATAAGTGGAACTGGTTCATTATCTTTTACCCTAATAATCTGATCATGAAATCGTTCTACACGTTCGAATGTGGATCGCGAAGATATGGAATAAACTAGAAGAAAACCTTCACCATCTCTGCATCCAAAATTTAGTATTAAGCATGATAAATTGAGTTAGTTACAATATTAACGTGAAATATTTATTATTCATTATAGCTGAAACCAACACTCCGGTATAAGAACATGGGTGTATTTTTTACACACATTTGCACTATTACTTATTTACCAAGTAAGGAAATTCGGTGCGTTAGGTTCATTAAAAATAGATTATAACGATTATTGCGATACTTTACCGAATCCATTGATCACGCAACGCCGTATACTCCTCTATTAAATTCATATAAAAAGAATAAATCATCTAATGTAAGAGCACTGAATAATGTACTTTGGTTCAAAAATCATGTGAACTCAAAATTTGCATTATTTATATACATCAATCATAGCCAGAAAATTCCATAATTTACATGATAATAAAATCTTTTATTATGACTCTTTAATG